GCCGGCGGCACAGCGAGGGCCGGGGAAGCTCGACTCAATAGGCATAAAAAGAATTACCTGCGGAGCGATGAAGCCTTATTTCTTCTCGCTCTCTCCACCCAATTAAATGCCCTGGTAAATTCGTTGTTTGGGGTTTTTTTTTTTTTTTTTGGGAAACGCACACTCGTGTGGTTTTAGGATTGCTCTCCCAGGGTTTTTTCCTGAATCTGATCATATGGCCCTTCATCAAGGGCTGTATCAGTTTTGGTATAGAAGGCAAGTCCTCAGGTGCACAAGGGTAGCTATGTTGAGTATGTTATTTGTCAGTTGAAAAATAACATGGTAATTCCCTGAGAAGTGCTTATTTAAAAAATGATAATGAGCGTAGCGTAGACTCAACCCTCTGGAAAGTTGCATCAGCAGCCATGGATTATCCAGTTACATATGGAGAGGGGGTGGTTTCTGCCAAATTGTATGCATCTGACCTTCAACCTAAGAGTTGCGTATTGTGGAAATTTTTTGTTCTTTTCTTAGTTTCCTTCATAGTTTTCTTCAGTATTTTATGTGCTATTTCTTCAACAATTTTCTTTAGGTAAACAAATCTGCTGTACAGCAGCTTGGGTTTTTTTTTCCTTCTCTCTTCTTATGCAAATGTCCTTTGTAGATTATGTACAGAGAAATTTATTGTTCTGTCTTGAACCTTTGTCTTCGAAAGGGGCTCTTACTAGAACTGCTGCAGTATCCAACTCTCCAACAGAGAATACTGAAAACTGGGTTTAGGGTTGAGGAGAGCAGAGCTGAACTCCATATTGTTAATCTGTTTTCCCTTCTTGAAAATGCAATACTCTTAAATGGACCACTGTATCACCTCGACTGTTTCACTTTGATTGTGAGCTGATGCTGCGTATGAAGTGCTTGGACTCACTGAAGCAAGAAGGTGGACAGAGCTCTTTGTGGCTATTATAAGGCATATCATAAATGTCTGCTGTAAGGCATGTGCAGATTGTCAGGTGAAGAACGTCACTGACAGAATTGGATTTTATCAAGCAGTTTAACAAGCGCTTTCTAATAGTCTGTGTGTTCCTTTTGACTTTTTCCCCCCCCTCCTCTGGCATGAATAAGTTTGCATGTGAAACATGGTGGTTAAAACTTCACAATCTCTAACATCAGAAGCAGCACAGTTGTGCTGCTCTTGATGACCAGCTGTTACAGTTGACAGGCCATGCAGATACCCTCTCAGCAAGGTAGGTTTCTTGTTCCTGCAACTGTCCAGAGCTTGTGGTTTCTTGGCAGATCCTGGGGCACATGCATACAGCATTTGTTTTGGTGGCTTTTCTCCTGGGGGTCCCTCTCCTCCTGCTTCCTTTAGGAGGGACTAAGAATGTTCTGGCTCTCACACAGGAATCTCCCAAAATTGGAAGCTGCAGATCCAATGGTTACAACCTAATTCCACTTTGTTGATATGCAAGAGCTGTGGGAGAAGAAAGAAAAATGGAAGGTTGAAGCAGCAGATTAGCTGACTAGGGCTCCTAGGAGTGATGTGTATTTTTTGGTTGTCTCAAAATTACTTCACTTATTTCTTAACTTTCAATAACATATAGAAGGCTCATCTTCACAAAGCACAGGACTTAATTCTGTGAAACCAGGCCTTGTCCTGTTGGGTCAGCTTGAGGTATCCAATTCCCCAAGATGATTTTTTTTTTCTTCATGTTTTCCTCAATACCTTGGTTGTCCTAGTTGCACAAGTCAAGTGAAAGAACACGGGGTGGAGGGATGGGGGTGGGGATTTAAGATGGTTGATTAGAAAGGGTACACATGCAAACATTAAGCATTCGGTAAAAGGATGGGAGTTCTATCCAACTCCTAGAAATCATTCTGAAATCTGGAAATGTAACTGTTGAAATAATAACTTAAAACATGGTCTCTACAACAAGCATATGACTTAATTATGCTATCTTATGAAAAACCTTCAGCTACTAGATACAATGAAATACATTGGTGACTATGCTTCTGCTAATCTCACTTGACAAGTGTCAGGTTATTGCAATATGGAACAGCTGCCATATGCATGGTGCATCAGTGACTCCAGATAGTGGAAAATTCCCATAATTTATTTGTGGATTTTTTCTTTTGTTAGGTGTTATTAGAAGCACAGAAAGAATTGGTGGACTACAAAGGACTCGGTATAAGTGTTCTTGGTAAGACTTCAAAAATTCTGTATTTTTCAGAATGTAGATGTTTAACCGAATTGGTTAATAAGAGTTTTTGATCTTGGTATTTTGTCTCCTTTTCTTTTCTAATACTTTATTCTGGTAACATGTATGTCCAGAGAATACCTTTTCATACTGCTTTTCTACTATTTGTCAGGAGACCATAAAATGATACATAGCCAGATGTTTAGTGATCCAAAAAAAAGGACCAGAGACAAAGAAGATAACTAAGCATATGTAAAACATTAGTACTTTTTGATATTTGGGCAGGGGTGTGTGTATATATGTGTATATAGGCAATATATATAACACCAGATTTTTATATATGTAACTATACAATACTATGTATGTACACACAACTATCCACAGATAATCACATACTATACATGTGTGTGCATATATATGTATATAAGATACTATATATGGTATCTATATACTATGTGGCAAAATGCTTCAGATGTATTTGATGTATAGCATCCTTCCCATTAGGAAGGCCATGCTGTCCTGTCATAAGGAGGAGGTGTCTTCTGTGCCATATGGGTAGCTGACTGGCTTTTCAGCCCTTGTTGCATAAAAAATTTTATGCAAGAAGATGGTCAGCATTTTACTGGTCCTGTGAAACTGTTTGGTTGCTAAAAGTTGAATGTGTAGCAGTCTCTGCAGGATTTGTTTCATGTTTAAATTGTACACTTTTACAGATGGGAGAAAGAATATGGATTTAATAAAAGGAATTAGTATTGAGTGTCCTTAACATTTAATTAGGATTACTGCATGAAGAAGCCTTGTTAAAAATAAAAGAACAAAACAAGCACCTGTACCTTACTCTATACTTGATACAGCTTTAGTAGCAGAGAACATTCTTAGAGTGAGGAAAACTTACACCTTTCTAGGGAGTATTTTTTCATGCAGATGTGGTTGTTCTGGGAGTGGTAAGGTCATGCGGATGCCAAATGTGAATGGACTGGATTTGCCTGGATCTGGACAAGACTTGAGGTATAAGGCCTGTGTGGGTATTTAGGAAGGCTCAGCAAAAAAAAAATAGGAGTTGGAACTGGGAATGGGAGCCTTCAGGCATTTTGGGTCTGTAGTGTAAAAGGCTTAAAGCTTAACACAATTTTTAAATCATGTTCATGTATTACTGTCTTGTTTCATGTTATTTCTTTCCTTTCTACCAAAGAAATGAGCCATCGGACCTCAGATTTCTCAAAAATTTTAAATACAGCTGAAAGTCTCATGCGTGAATTGCTGTAAGTGAATTATTTCCTGCTTAGTTTTGCTTTATGCTTGTGCTAGTTGCACCAATAATGACTAATGTGGAGACCTTTCCTTGAAAGCACCTGTTTATGTGGTGGGTTTTTTTCTTCTTTGTTTACATACTGTGTCAGATAGGGTAATAGCCATGGAGAAGACATTGGTCTTCTGATTGTCTGATGCTGATTTATCTGAATGTGACAAAGGGCTTTTATTAGGTTAAGATGCTTTTATGTGTCTACTATACACTGACTAGTTGACTTTCTTCTGAAATTTTAATTTTTGTCACCTTCATAGAATTCATGAAAGTCAGCAACTTTCTTCAAGAAATAAGTGGAAACAATAGAAATCAGTGCTCTAGTGGTATAGAGGTGATAAGTACATTACTCATCAGTCTGATTTTACTAACATAAGTTCTATGGATGTGTTTTAGAATCACAGATCAGGAGCTATTTTCCTATTGCAGTGTGACATGTTTTTAGAAGCTTGAAATAAATATATTGTATATTAGAATTAATGTTCTCACAGTAGTTAATGATGCTCATTTCATGTAAAAGCTTGACTCAGTCACAGCCAGAATTATTGACTGAGGTCTTTTAATGAATAATTTAAACAAGTAATTTTTGTGACTGTATGAACAACTCCTTATGGCATTTGTTCTGCAAGTACAATTTACTGTACTGTTGCACTTGCAAATTGAAGGGTCTCAAAGCTGAATTCTACTGTGAGCACTTCGGTGAAGTTCTTAGCCTGACAGAAAAGCCATGAAGCTAGCAATAGACAAAACTACAAGTGAGCATTAATTCTGCTAGAATAGCTTTCAAGTTTGTGTGTACTGTGATAGTAGAGCTACTCAGGAGTGAATTTGTTTAATGCTGTCCAAGGGGGGAAAAAAAAGCTTGTTTTCAGCAAACTTTCATCAGTAAAATGTATAGCATTACTCTTAATACTTAAGTTGTTATTCAAGACTAGTGCTGAGGTAAGTTAATGGGATTCGGTCTAACCTCTTGGCAAAGAGTCTTCTAAAATGACAGTGTTCTTCCTCAGTTGCTGTTAAATGCGTATCAAGTAGTATGCATCCTGTGTCTTCTGGGAATAATATAAATGGTTATTTCTTGCATGCAGAAATATACCAGAAAACTACAAAGTTATTTTCCTCCAAGGAGGTGGATCTGGTCAGTTCAGTGCAGTCCCACTTAATCTGATTGGCTTAAAGGAGGGAAGACATGCGGATTATGTGGTTACTGGAGCTTGGTCAGCAAAAGCAGCTAAAGAAGCAGAGAAGTATGCCAAAGTGAATATCGTTCATCCAAAACTAGGAACCTATACAAGTAAGTTGATGATTACATCCACCCATGTGAATGCTTGGCGTTTTGAATCACTCTAAAAATTGATCCAACTCAGCTGTTGGGTTATTGAATGTTTAACTAGTTAGAGTTGACTGCTCAGCACTCAAAAGATTGCCTGCCACATCTCTCCATGTTCATCACTGGGAGATCTGTTAGATGGCTTAACAGTCTCTGCCGGAAAAGAATTGTGAAACTAGGCTGAGCAGATCCCAGAAAATAAGTGGCAAGAAGCAAATGTGTATCGGTAGGGAAATGGTGTGGGCTGATATTTTTTTTTTCCTGTTTAACTGAGTTCTTAAGTTGTTTGCAGGGATGCTGCAAGGTATTCCAGTTTCAGGTACACTCAATAATGAGATTGCTCTGAAATTTAGAAGCATGTCTGGGATCTTAACCTTGTTGGCCCAGGAGATGGGAGACCTGCACTCTGTTACCTTCTTTCAGGCATTCCCAAATACTTATCTTCCCCACCCATGCGTCATAACAGGCAGTTGGCTCTGGAATAGAAAAGCATTTTCAATTCCTCCTCTTGAAACTTGTTACTGGACATGACATAATCTGAATGACCATGGTGTAGAAGGAAGAAAAAGGTTAACTGTAACTGAGGCACTGGGAATTTTTATGAGAGTCTGTTTCAAGAACACTTTGTGTATAATTTGTCACTAGATATATATAAAAATAATTCTTGGAGCAGCGACATCTGAGTGCTGGCTTCTACTCCTGCTAGTCATGCTTACTTTTCTTCCCTCTGGTTCAGATTATAGCATTTGAACTGGGAAAAGTGGCAACAGGAAAGACAAAAAATATCCCCCTATGAGTTTAATGTATTAACTGGTGATTAGGGCACTAACTTTAAAGATAATTTTATATCCTCTGAGGCACAGCAAGGAATTGAACCTACAACTTCCCAGTCTAGGGGAATGTATTCGCCATTTGGCAGCTGTAGATAAGGGGGGAGGCAGAAAATAGTGGTGGAGGCAATAGCAGAGCTTCTTCCCCCTCATGTTTCAGAAGAGAGCAGAAAGGAAGAGCAACCATTTGTTCTGTGCGAAACCTGTTCTGTGCTGTCAGGGCATGCCTGTATATTGCCTGTTGACAGAGGAAATATTAGTTTTGTAAATCAGTTGCAAAGCTTAAATGGGAGGTAGGTAGGTAACCTTGCATTCAGTGTGGACAAGACTGAAACGCTTCTGGGGAGGCACAGAAACACAGCTTTAGAGAACTTTGCCAGTGAGAATTTGGATGCTTCAGGTGGTTCCAAAGGCATCAGGATTCTTGGACCCAGTGCCTGAATCCCTCCGAAATGCTGTTTTGGACCCCTAAGGCAGTAGTTTGTAGTCTGGGATTGCCAACCTGATGAAAATCCCTTGAGGAGTAAGGGCCGAAAACCAGAAGGGTGTTTGCCAGCTTAATGGTGGTTCACCACTTGATTTTGGGAATGCACTGGTATATTTCCTTTGCAGATAATTATCTTGTTACCAGGAAGATATAATTTAATATTTTATACTGCAAAATTGTTCTGGATTTGCACTGAAGTCCTGTGTTCAAGTAAAATTGCATGCCAGGAAAATTACTTGTCTCCGGTGACCTTTGGGTTTTTTTCTGTCTCAGACATTCCTGACCCAAGCACGTGGAATCTTAATCCAGATGCATCTTATGTCTATTACTGTGCTAATGAGACTGTTCATGGTGTGGAGTTTGACTTTGTACCTGATGTCAAAGGAGCAGTCTTGGTTTGTGATATGTCATCAAACTTCCTGTCCAGACCTGTGGATGTTTCCAAGGTATAGTATTTGACACAGTGGCTGCACAAAGCATTTTCAAACTTGAATGCATATAGTTAGGCACTTTGAAATGTCTGGATGGCCAGAGATGCTGAGCAGTGAAATTAGGATACTGTATTTTGTTAATTGGGTATCCGATGGTAGATAAGAATGTTGAAATTCAAAGTTTGAGATTTCAATGTCTATCTGTTGTCCTTTTTTTCAGTAAAAACATATTGAACTATGTTGGAATTGTTCATGTTAATAGCTGTCCAAGATTATTTGTTTACTGTGTGGTCTTCACTGATGCTGTAGCTGAAAAAGATATCTTCTGAATCAATTTAGTCTGTAGATAGTGTACATGGCTATAGCAGGGTACTGCGTTTGATCCTGCCTCTTACATGGAAAATCTGGAACCCCATTTAGGCTGCTAAAGCTTCCTGAGCCTCAACTACTGTGTCTGATTCATAGATACTACAGAGGCAGAACATAGTACTGGCTTATGTTTGTAAAGTGTGTTATGAGTGGGAAGCGTTACTGACTACTGAAGTAGTGTGTTTGACTTTTCTTACCTGTGTGTAGCAAAAAGAAGGGGCAATTGTTAGTACATTCATCCTGGCCTTTCCTGATCTGCCTCTTTGAACAGGTGGATTATATGATGCCTGTTCTGAAATGCCAGATTGGCTGGAAATACTGTGATCTATGTATGAATTTATTTTTAGTAAATTTGCTTGGAGTAGTGTGAAATGGGGACAGGCTGCCTTGAGAAATATTTGTGGCTACTAAATAAATATTTAGCAAATCGTTGGGAAATTCGTTGTGATGATCTTCCTCAGCTGAATTGAAGATACATTGTTCTGATATGTCTATATGTGGGATAAAAACTGTAGCTGTAAGTACACTTCAAAATCAGACCTTCTCTTAACTCTTCTTTGACCTGCAAGTTGCTTGTTTTCAACATGTTCTCAAAGCTGTTCATCTGAGTTGTATGCCTGTTGCATAATGATATTAGCGTATTACTCTGTTATAAGATCTAGTGAATGCGTGTAGCAAGTCCTTTTCTTCTTTCTGTTTAAAGTTTGGTGTGATTTTTGCTGGTGCTCAGAAGAACATTGGCTGTGCTGGAGTTACTGTTGTAATAGTACGTGAGGACTTGTTGGGATTTGCACTGAAAGAATGCCCCATAGTACTGGATTACAAAACACAAGCAATGAATGGCTCTTTGTATAACACTCCACCATGCTACAGGTAACTTACCCTGCTATTTAATATCTCTTATTCAGAAAGCTACTGCACTGCCATCTGCTGCTCTTATCGGGAGTTTCAGAAGTTGAGCATTTGCCTTCAAGTCACTGATATGTTGAAGTGTTTGCATGATTCCTGTGAAAACATGGGAAGTGTCCAGCCATGTGACTGTAGTAGGCTCTAATGTTGCCTAGTGGGACTCAACCATGAAGGACATAGTATTTTTAGAAGTAAATGTTGTATGTCATAATTCCATCGTAGAAGTTTCAGGATCCAGTTCTGACTTAAATGAACACAACTCTAGTCAATTCAGTGGTGATGCTTCTATCATTGCAAGTAGGTAATTTGGCACTTAGTCTTCCTTCTTGAACACTCAGTACAAATTTGATTTAATTTCGTCCTGAGGTTGTTCTCAGCATTTGAACCTCCAGATCCCGATCCCTGTAAAATATTTTTTTAAGACAACGTTTTAGTCATTGCTTTGCTTTATTCTGTAGTGCAACTTTCTGTGTTTCTTTAAGTACTGCTTCAGTGTTTGACTTGACATCCAAAAATAAAATTGTTCTAGGTTCATAATCATTGCTAGCAATCAAGACCATAAAATTGGCATGTACTACAGCTTGCTCTTTTAAAATTACTATATCCTAGCTTCTAATAGCTAGTGAAATGGTGCTTTCCTACTGGAATATTTAGGTGTTGAGCCAGTAGTATCTACCCATTCTTAATCTGGAGCATTTTTGTACCAATGTCCACTAAAATGAATATTTTAAAAAAGAAAATCTTCAAACCAGGTATCTTTTTTTTCCCCTGAAGTTTTTTAAATTACTTTGAAAATAATGATTTCTGCTTTTAAAGATAAGATTTTCTCTTGATTCAGATAATATGATAATGCAATCTTATATTGTTGATGTTTAATCTCAGCTCTTACAGCTTTTTTGTACATGCCGGAATTTGCAAACTTGAGTTGCCTAATGATGTCCAGCAGATACCAAATGCACTGTATAGGCATAAAGTATAGTGATTCCTGTGTAGAAAGCCTGCCTTAATGCCATCACTTAATTACAACTAATATCAGTTAAAACTCTTACTGAATTTATCTCTGAATCTGCTGATTCTCACTATGGGGTGTACTATTGCAATGACATAGAAGCAGTTAATTTATTGAAAGAACAGTAAATCCTGTGAGCATATGGCATATGTTTATTCCAGACTTTACAATGTGCAACTAGTTTTCCCTAGGAGTATGCATACTGTAGAGTATGTAGTGCTGTAATGATGTGCTCTTGCCGTCAGCCTGTCTGCCCTACTGGGTGAGTACACCCAATATCCTTAGGGCTAGTGTCTAAGACAACATTTAACCATACAATGTTTCCAGATTTTTGTCTTCTTTCTGAATGTAGCTTTCTAATATGGGCAGTATGAGTGTCTCTTCCTCCTCCCCTGCCCCGCAGTAATTGATAAAGCCTGTATTTCATGACTGATTATTTTCCTGACTGCCAAGTCAGACATACTGTTTTGGACACTGTGTGCTTGCACATGCCAGGTTTTAAATCCAGCCATTCCTGTTTTCAAAGTACAAAGTAATTTCCATTTGAAAAACCAAAGTTCTACTTAATCTCAGCATTGATCACAGTGTTGCTCCTCTGGTTTGAAATGCAAAACAAATTAAACTCTGCAGCTTTATTTTAGCTATTGCAAAGAACTTCTGAAAAGTGCTGCTTTAGCTGTAACTCAGTACCTGTCAGTAACATTAACAGGGTAGTGGGAGATTAAGAGAGCAGAAAATAGAGTTGAACTAACAGTCTTTCTCCTTTCTGATCACTATCTTGCCAGATTTCACTTCATGCTACAGACCCACATTGGACTACAGTCCAGAATCCAGAATATAACACAGGCTGAAATGTTGGCAGGGTGCATATCTGTTTGGCTTGGCTCTAAATGCCTGTTCCAGTTTTTGTAAGGAACTGGCAAAGCTTCTTAGTTCTCTTTTTCTCTACTCTTCTTCCTTGCACTCTCTAATGGTTTGCTGGCAAATAGGCAGGAAATATTAACTGAATCTGCAAAAGCTACTTCAGCAGGATGTTAAATTAAATTAAGATGATGCTAATGGCTTTAACCTCTTGGTGCTACAGAGCTTGGCTTTTTGACCTTAATCTGCTTTGCTTGAATTAACAATGAATTTGCTATAAAAATCTCATTTCCAAGCTCCAAGGGTTTATTTTGCATTTACAATTGCTCCAGAAACATTATTTTGACTGACATGAAAGAAGGAGAAAAAATTTCAGCTGGATGGGTTTTGTGGATGACTCTAAGGCTGACTTCTTTAAACCTTACTTATCCAAGAACCTTCACTCAGGGAAGTGAGGGCAAGAGGTGAATGTGGCCCTGTATATTTGGCAAGGGCCTAGGCTATACTTAAATCCTTTACACTGGGGTAGTTGAAAGCATGCTGTCACGAATGTAGCAAGATTGTGCTCTCAAAGCTGTAAGGTGCTTTGTATAAAAGGCAATCTGTAACCTCAGTTATTCTGCAGTCTTTCTGCAGCGTTCAAAGATTTGACACTGGTATCCCTTGAGAAATTAAAAGTAGCAAAGTTTAAAACATCCTCCTGCTAGATTTGTGGTAGGAAAACTTCTAGGGTAATGTTCTCTGAGCACTCCCTTGGAATCTGTAATGAGGGGATTAATAAAAGCAAAACTTGTTGGAAATATGCCATAAAAACTTGTGAACAGTTTATTATGTAAAGTGTTGTAGTCGTGGGAAATGTCTGAACTTGAACAAGCTGTGTTTTGTAGCAGAAGCACAAAGGCAAAAGGCCTGGGGGATTTTTTATGTTGCACTTAGTAACTAGCATTGAAGTACTTGGTCCCAAGCCACGTGATGCCAGTAGGCTTCCAGATCTCTACTTACACTTAATTATTTGTTACCATTCAACTTGTAATACACCATTATTTGTTTCGCCAAACTTCACTGTTCATGTGGGGAAAAAGGTCTTTTTAGAGAGAAATTTGATTATAGTTTTTATTTAACATTTGTGAAAATAGGATTAGATTTCTGCCATTATTAATGTACATACATTTGAGATTCACCCCTGCATCTTTGCTAGAGCAGCTGCACAGGGTAGATGCTACAGACTTTTGCGCTAACTGGCACTTTCTAGGACTGGACAGGCAGTGGTGTGGTCAATGAACTGGCAGTATGTGCAGCATGTCCGGGGGTATCCTTGGGAGCCCTGCAGGGCTGCAGGAAACCTGCAGGACTTCTCCTTCTGTGATACAAAGGATTAAGTTTGGTCCAGCAGATTTGTGTAGCATTTGAATTTCAGGATACTTCTTCCATGTCCAAAAAACACTGCCTGCTTAGAATTGTCATAATCTGTAAAATAGTCCAGATTCTGAGTTGTTAATCTTAAGTACCCTAAAACCAAACATAACATTTTGTTGCTGAAACATTTTGTGAACTATTAAACAGGACTTATTTTTTCTGTTTCTTTTAAATAATCTGACTGAAAAATGTGCTTTTCTCTTGCAGTATTTATATCATGGGATTGGTACTGGAATGGATAAAGAATAATGGCGGAGCTGCAGCTATGGATAAACTTAGCTTAATCAAATCACGAATGATTTATGATATTATAGACAAATCTAATGGATTCTATGTGTAAGTTGCTATCCTTTTCCGCTTTGGTTTCAATATTTGTTGCAGAGCCAAACATAGTTATAACTTTTAAGAGTCTGATTGCAGAATACTTTTAAAGTTACCTTTTCCATATATAGAAATTTTGAGGAATCCTACAGGAATTACTTGTGCAAACTATTCACTTGATAACTATCCAAGGATGATCCTCATTCCAGTAGGAAGTTATTTCAGGTTATCCTGTATAGATTGGTTGTGAAGCGTATTAATAACATATGTGCTAAACTTAATAAAATGGAGGACCCTAGGACAAGAGTATACAAAAAACATATACAGGTTCTGGTTTGTGTGCTTACTGAATCTCTTGGGGAAATACAGGCCAAAACAAAGTGGCTTGTAAGAAGTTGTAGAGGCCACTTTTGCATCATATTCTTCCTACCATCTCTTTCAGTAGTCAAAGATTCTGCTTTTTGTCTGTCAAGCAGAGCATTTTTATTAGCTAATTGTGCAAAGTTCTGAAACACTTTCTGAAATAGAAAGAGGAAGATTAGACCTAGATGTAGTCAAAATGTAATAAATTTTCTGTATGTACAGTTTATTTTCTTCAGTAATTTTTGATGGTTTTCCAAAGCAGATTTAACCTTCTGATTTTTACATATTGTTGCAAGGTATTTTTGAGCTCACAGGACCCAAAATATGTAGAGTTAAAAGCTGATGTGATTTGGAATAATTCTAATACTTGCCAAGCTCAAACTAGTAATTGACTATGAAACTGCAAAATATTTTCCTTTACTTTCAGTATAAAATCAACAGTTTTGGGACCTAATTAACTTTCAAGTCAAAGTTAAGATAGGGCAAATTAAATTTGGATTTTAAATTAAAGCTGTCTGCAACCTTAATTGGCAGGGATGTAGTTTCATCATAATATTTAATACATTCTGCTTATCCATTTAGTTAATGAGAACAGCTTTGCCTTTAGCATTGTCATGATCAGGATTGTGATCTTACTTTACTGAAATCCTGAAGGTTTTTAATAAATTTCAGTAAGCAAATGAAGCCCTGAAAAAACATTTTGTGACAAATAGAAATCTGTTTCTGGCAAGCTGGTCTGTAAGGCTGTGAGTGGGAAATGCAATGTAGATGGGATGGTAAATGCTCAACTGGGAAGGCAAAGCAAGCTTTACTAACTGAGCTGTATGCGTCTTACTAAGCAATACACTTAAGACTGTGGATTTTTTACTATATCTATGACCAAAAGGAAGACTTATCTGAAGCTGCCTTCCTAGCTTAAATGCGCCACCTAATCTGTGGCATGCTTCACTGGGTAAGCAGTGTGACAAGCCATTTAGTGAATGGAGACTTTCTTCACAAAGTGCTGTGTGCCATTTGCAGTTTGCTTTCCAAAGTCTGTGCACTGAGTTACATTGGATTGCCTAATAGCAACTGGATCTTCTAAAAACTATAGTGTAGCTACAGTTATTATTATATATTACATATTTATATA